TCTATTAATGGGGCACAGTGGATGTAAATATTAAAATTTGGGTGTGAGATATGTACTATTAACTGTTTTAAGCACTCTGTATGTAAATACCCCTTAAGTCTATATTTTAATATAAAATCGCATTTAAAACATGCAAGAGTATAGAGTTCTAAAATTTAATTTTTTATATTAAATTGGTGAAAATATTTTTAATGCGTCATATTGATTATTTAAATAATAGTAATTTAATTAGAATATTTATTGCATTATTTGGTTCAATTTTTAGTTCAATTGTGAACCTCTTCTACTTAAGTTCAATTTTCAGTTTGATTTTCAAATCATTGGTTAATTGAAAATCGGGAAGAGAACTTGAATATGCTACATTTTTCAGCAGAAGAACAACAATTTGAAAGTTTATTGAACTGTGTTTTTAGTGCAGGTGTCTAGCTGTGTAAGCATTTCATATGTTGGGAAATAATTTTCATACAGTGCGCCACATTTGTCAGTAAAAGGATTTAAACAATGAAGAATAGTGTGTAGTGTAAATGAATTAATTGCAATATATTTTCTACCTCATTGGGGTATTGCCCGCCGATTGAAATTTAACATTACGATAATAATGGTTGAAATTTGACATTCAGAGTAGAATCCTGGATGCATAGATTAAAGTTAAGCACAGTTACCTTAGCTTCGGACGCCAAAACTGCTCCAGTGCCGACCTTTACCGTTGAACTTTGAATGTTTTTTTGCAGTAAAATAGATTTCCCTTTCCCTTCAATGCAGTTATTGACCTTGACATTCACCTGTTCAACTGAATTATGAAGCTCAAGATCTTGTAACTTGTTTAGTTTTTTTCTTAGTTTGCATCTTGGAGAAACCGATTCTAATAATCTGCTTTTTTCAGGTTGCCTTGGGGATTTGTTCAAATCATAGGAGGGAATAGTAGCAGTGGCTTTTATCTTTAGGTCAGGCTTCATGTGCTGCATTCTTGGGCTCACAGTGTTAATTACCGGCCTTTCATTTGATTCTTTCAATAATGGGTATGGCCCTCTACATTTTATCTTTTTTTCTGTTAATTTTTTGTCTGCTTTAGTTTGTTTCTTCCAAAAGTCCTTCTTTCTGTTATTTCTTGAGTCGCCTGTTCTAATCGTTCCAAGACCTGGATGCCTTTCAAGCTTTATGACTTTGGAGAAAGTAGCATCTAGCTTTCTAGCTGGTTCCATGATCACAATTGGGCACTTCAAATCTCTTATGCTTAATTCGTTTGTTCTGTAGTTTGGTGGAGTGAACTGTATGCTCGGTGAATTGACTGAACTTAGTTTCATACTGCCAATATTTTTTGTTGCTGATATTACCCGTTTGATATCCTGGAGTTCCTTACAGGAGTGTTGGCATGGAAGCTTTTGTATTCTCTTCTCGGCCTTTTTGAAAACTGATTCAATTTTCTGATTCATATATGCTTCTACATTTTCTATCAGTATCTGTGGAGTTTCTTCATTTGAAAATTTGGAAAGTAAATCCAAGTGTGGATTGTTTCTCCTCGGAGGCTTGGCAATGTTTCTTGGTGACCGCAAGGTCTTCTCATGAGCTGCAACCTGGTTCTGCTTATTGTAGGGATCATAGCTTCGGATACTATTTTGTGCAGCTGAATTTAGAGGTTCCAAACCCATAATCTTTGCAACAATGCTGGAATTTTTTTCATTATTTTCCAGATCCTGAAGTTGATTCAAGGTTGCAGGTGCTCTCTTCTCGGCGTCAGTATCCGATTCTTTTACAGCAGAGTTGATTTTAGGGCTTAAATTACACCTTAGCGAACATTCTCTGCTGTCTAATGAAAGCCTTGAGAGTCCATTATGTTTATTATCATATTCCTTCATGTCAATGAGTATCCGTGACATTTCTGTTCCGTCATAAGAGAATCGAGGCGATCGACCTTCGGAAAATCTCTCAGGACAGACTTTAAATTTGAGCATTTTGCTGAATGATTCATTAAGATCCCTATCTTTAGATTGTTCCATTGGTCTAGGGGAGTGAATTGAATTGAACACTTTGTTCCTTTTATTGTCTTCCTTCGTTTTAGCACTACATAAGTCTCTGTAAATAGACTCCCTGATAGCTTCTTTGAAATCAGGAGATTTATTGGTGCCTGCGCTTCTTGTTCTTGACGAGTTCATTGGTGAGCTTCCTGGTAAAAATGTGTGCTGTGTGTTTATTGATTCTTCTTGAGGTGATTTGTGTTCTAATGAAGAAAATGTTGTAAACGTTGATGAGAAAGAGGTTCTTGATGACTCCATGGAATATCTAGTGTTATCTTGAGATCTCCTGCTTTGATTTTTCTCCTGTAGTAATTATGCTAAAAGTTACGGATTTCTCATGTATATATTGGTTTAAAATTGGTTTGTTATCGTAGCATCAGTAACATACCAAGTTAGATGATGAGCTAATGCTGGGGCATACTGAGTCATGAGCTGCACATTTTTTCATGAAAACGGAAGTTAGGAACTTAGAAGGTAAACAAAATAAGAAGTAACAAAAGTTTCAACAAGTTTAATTAAATTATGTTAGAATTCTTAATCTATAATGTTATTAAAATTTTTTCTAACATTATAACTGGAGAAGAGATTAGGCTTTGGCCGTTGGTATTCACTTTAATCGAAAGTACTGAATGCTTTTTTTTTAGTTCAAGAATTCATAATTGAATTGAAAAGATCTTAACGAACGAACAAAAAAAAAAAGGATTTATTTAACAGAATTTAACAACTCAGCTTCATATTTCATGCATAATTTTTATAAATCAGAATACATCTTTGTAAGATAGAAGCGAAGAATATTGATTGAACTATTCCCTAAAATTATAATCAAGAAATTCTACATCACTTTTTTTTTGGTTGTCAAAAAAAGTTTTTTATATTAACTGAGCCAATTATATACACCTTATGCAAGTAAATTATGTTAGTTGCATAAAAAAGGTAGGATTCATAATGTTTGATTACTTGTGTGATGAGGATAATGATGATGATCATTATTATTTGTCTTGTCCTAATATTATATGATTTCTCTTCATTTTTTTATTGAGTATTATGTGAGGCAATAGATTTAGTGTTTTTTGCTTTGATTAATTGTTACCTATGTTACTAATTTTTCACTAATATTATCCGTCCACAGTGTATATTAAATAGCTCTTGGTAGGAAATAAAATGAATATTCTTTTGGAACCACAGAGTTAGGGTAAAAAGAAATGAGCTAAGAGCTAGAGTGACCGGAGTTAGGGAAACTCAGAGTTATATAGCTAGGGAGCTAATGAGTCCGAGTTCGAGTCCTGAGCTACTAGAAAACAGCACTTAGCTTAAACCTTAGGAAAACATAAAATTATGACCAATATTACAATAGGAGAGAGTAGAGAATGCACACCTAAAAAAAGTTTATACTGTTTAAGAATTATAACTTGAAAATTGTCAAGTTGTGACAGCAGCCACATACGGAACAATATTTCTTAAAATGTGTCTTGTTGCTCTTAAACTCTTAAAAAAGAGTTAACTCAAGCATCACCATATCTTGAGGACTGCCACACTTTAACTTCTGTTTAAAATTAGCATTTTTTATTTATTTATTTAGTTTTGTCTATGATAATAAAAAACTAAGAAAATTGACAGTTATAAATACCAGAAGCATCCCTCCTATTGCCTTGCTCACTGAGTTGCCTTCCATGAAAAAACTGCTGGCAACCAAACAGCTGAAATATCCCACCAATGCAACCTGCCGGCTTCTTTGATTCGAGAATTTTGTCATCGAACACGTCCGTAAACTTCCTCGCCATTTCTTTATCGACTCCTACTTGCCCAAAAAATTCGAACCATGCCAAAGTGATCTCAAGAAGGGATAGATACTTCAGAAAATACCAATAAAAACTTAGGAACTTTTCAATCAATAGAAAGAGAAAGGAGTTTGTCAATATTATTCAGAAAAAGGGAAGAGATATTAGCTCACTATGACGAATCTCACATACAAAAAGAAGCTTCTTATTAGTATTTATGCAAAGAAGGGGAACAGAGATTAGTTTAGTGTGATGAATGAACCTCTTCTTTTGTTTTGAAGCAATAGGTGAAGGCATAGGGCTGCTGCTCATATAAATATGATGAACTGGAAATGAATGACTGCGGGTTTTATTATGCCAAGGAAGTGAGATGTGGTACCAAAACAGTAAATAGAATGAATTGTTCATGAAAAACAGTTGGATCATGTGGGACTATTATTTGGTCTGTCAGTGATCCATGGCAAACATTTTGGTCCATACTTTGGCATGTGGATTAATTATTGAGTGGGTCTGATGTTGTCTGAATTGGGCATGTGATGTGTGTGTATGGAGATACAGATGGAGTACTTCATGCTCTTTAAAGTATGATGACATTGGCATGAGAAGTTCCACTTCATCAACTGTAAATCAATCATATCTATGTTGGGGTTTTTTCCCTTCACTTTCCTTTCTCTCTAATATTTTACTATACTCTTATACATTTTGTATTTATGATATCGCTTTTATCTATATATCTTAAGAATAATGCTTAAATATTTATATTCAATTTTTTCTATATTTTATATGTTGGTACATGTTTGGAAAGTTACTCACTACCTATAATAGCATTTTCTTTTGGTTATATATGAATTCTTAATTGAAATCCTTTGGAATTATTCACGCATATTTATTGGTTTGCATCTTTTTTCTGCTTGCTATTCAAATTTTCATCATTAATTTCATTAGTTTCATCTCAACGATTTCAGGCTGATTTTGTAAATACTCAATTTCTATCAAGGCTTTCAACTTCATTTTGCAATTCTTTTTGCTACTATTTAACTTTGCTCTACATTTTTTTTTCTGCTCTTACTTTTTGATATTGATTTTATCTATTTATCTTAATGTTGTTTTGTTCATATTCAAATCACTGAAATTTATGTTACCTTCAATAGATGTGAAGTCAACCAATGATTGTTGTTTGCAATGCAATTTCTTCCAAGCTTAGTGTAAGGTCGTTAGTAGGGCTGTCAAAAAAGCTCGTTGTTCGCGAGTAGTTCGTGTTCGATTCACCAGGGAGTTTGTGTTCAATTCATTTGATAAACAAACGAGACAAATACAAATAATTTTTTTCATTCGGTTTATAAACGAATCAAACAAGAACAGTCAATTGTTCGATTGTGTTTGAATCATAAATGGTCAAAATTTAAAATAACTTAAAATAATTATATATAAAAAAATTATCATATTTTAAAAATAATTATATATTCTAAAAATTTATCATATTAAAACAAATAAATTCTTTAAATTATAATATAATCTTCAGATAAAAAAAATAAATTCTTTAAATTATAATATAATCTTCAGATTCGCCTCTTAACATATTAAATCATGTAATCTCATTTTTATCTTCAGGTTCGCTTCTTAGCTTAAATTTTCTTATAATTCTTTTAGATTTATTTAGTCTCTTTGAGTGAAACATAGTTTTTGAAGTTTTTGGGAGTAAAATCTCGCATAATGCCGCTAGATCTGAATTTTTTATGGATAAGATATGATATTATGGTTTTTTTTGTGTTGTGCTATGATTCATACAGGTTTAAACTTTTAAAAGATTTCAAACAATTTGAACAATACATATAAATTTGTAAGATTTTGAACAATTCAAACAATTCTAATAATTCGAACATTTCAGACATATTTCAAACAAATTGAACCGAACACGAATAATAACTTCACAAATAATTTAAAGCACGAGCTTATTTCAAACACACTTAATTTTGAACGAACAGAACACGAGCTCTGTCGTTTATGTTTGATTCGTTTACACCTCTATTCGTTTGAGATTTTTCTTGTAATTTCCAATGCAAAAGAGGGTAATTACATTGCAATCTCAGTTTACAGCAAGCATGTGAAAAACTTGAAACATTGCATCTTCTTTACGTAGCTCAAATTAGTTTGTCCAAAAGCACATAATCAATTATACCTTCTTATGCGCAACAACTGTAAAAGGCATAAAATATACAAAAGTGATGATTGAGTTGGGACCATAGAAGGCATGTTGGGTTCCCTTTGCCCAATGCCTTGTTTCTTTAATCTAAATATTAAATGTGAAATATTAATTTCTTTTTTCAGATTTGGACAAACTGTTGGTTCTAATAGAGAAGGATCTATAGTACAGTTTTGTTTCTTCTTTATTTTTTGAGTTAGTGGCTGGGGGGTTATGGCTAAGATTTAGTTAAGAATGTCTGAAATGGCGGGTTTTGAGCTAATTTAAGCCAAATGTCTACATTATTAATTAAAGTGTATGCGAGTGTATTTAATCATTTATATGTAGTTTTATTTTATTGTAGAATGGGTCCGAACTAATCTCTCACACTCACACTTTAGTTTTTATCCTAAAAATTTGAAAATTTGAAAAATGAACTCTCTCTCTCTCTCTCTCTCTCTCTCTCTCTATATATATATATATATATATATATATATAATTTGGGGTTGATTTGAATTAATAATCATTGAGCCACTCTAGTACTCCAGTTGTTAGAAGCTTGAACTTGATATTAGGGGCTTTTACATACATACCACATAATTTTTATTTATTTACATTTCTAACACTGAACTTTCATATTTATATAAATATCACTCTTTTTAGTAGAACATCTAAATTATGAGTCACTTTTATAACTGAAATATACCTTTTGCTGCATAGGTTTTTAATTTTTATTATTACAAATGTAAATATCCAAGAATTGTGTGGTATCTATGTAAATATACCTTGATACTATTGTCAAGTTTTGAACTTCATACATACCAAGCAGTTGTAAATTCCTCATCTGTAGTTTAATGTTAATGCCTTGTAGCAACCATAAGAATTATAGGTAGTTTGGTCCTGACAAAAGATAAGACTTTGCTGTGCAGTAACAAAGGTGAAAACTTTAGATCCACAAACTCTGCTAAAGAACATCTTTAGCCAATTATTTTTGGTCATCTGCATTTAATGTGTTTTACTTTCTAATGTCTGCCATCTCATAACAGCACACTCTTCATAAAGTTAGGGCCCATTTTTCAATATTCTGGATCTCATCTCTCCACTCATTCAACTGAATTAATATCTAATGAATGCAAAATCATAATTTTTTTTTAATTTTAAGACTAAATCATAATTTATTCAGTTTGAATTACAGTGCCCATGCTGCAGTCCCATCCTTCCGTACCATGTTCTCGAAATCAGTAGCGGAATATCAATAATTCAGCTGAGGCCAGGTATCTTTCTTAGGAATAATTATTACTAATATATGCTCCATTTTTTTTAATGTATTTTTCTTTTCATGTTGATATGTTTGTTAGTCCCTTTTAAACAGAAGATTTACATTCATACCACTCAATTTTTATATATTTACACATCCAACACCTAAACTTTGATGTACATGTATGTTTGTTACCTTGCCTACAGATGAAAATGGTTAAAAAGTAGTGTTTTCAATTTGGTATGAAAGATTTGGGTATATGAATGTAAAAAAGCAAATTTTAGATGTTAGATATGTAAATACATAAGAATTGATAATAATAGTATTGTATTTGGGAGAAGGCACCAATGTGCATTTCAGTGTTACAATATTTATTTGTTAACTTAGCACACATAATAATAAGCCTGATTGAGAAATGTGATATTGGATGCAAGCCATGTGCAGATGTGCGGTAGGAAGAATTGCTGCCTATCTTCATTAGGGTTCAGCTGTACCATAAGATTGTCAAGGCAGTTATGTGTGGCTACTCTGAATCACCATGTGCCATGTCCTTCATAGATTGCATAAAGTACCATTGTTTAGGAGAATATTGATAATTATGGGTATAGTTGTCAAAAGAATAAATAGTAGAAATATGTAAATAAGGTTATAGGTTTTGAGGTAAGGATAAAATTGGGTGGTATTAATGTGAAAAGTAAATTATAGGTGGTAGATATGCAGATCAATGGAATTAGGTGGTATGTATGTAAATTCTCTATGTTGAAATAATGAAAAATAGAATTTGATGATTAGGATGCATTTAGTTAAAGGTAGGATAGTGTTTCAATGAAATTTGTCTACATTCAGGGAGGATGATAAGATATGAGGAGATTATCGTGAGGCGTAGATATATTTGTATGATAGATGAGTAAATTAAATTTCCCTATTTTTTACAAAGAGATTAAGGTAAAATATGTTTAAAAGTTTAAAAAAAAGGGGAGCATTTACATACATAACACCCAATTACTATGTATATACATTTCTAATACCAGAATTTTACTATTTACATCTATACCTCCCAAGTTTTTCATATGAAATTAGATGCATATCAAATAAGAAATATCACATTTTTAATTTTTGAAAAGTGAAATACACACTATGTGTTTAGGTAAGATGGTATGTGTGCAGAAAAAATGTGCCATTGTGGATCACGAAGGTGTGAACCTGCGTTTCGGTAGATCCGACCCGAGGAGAAAATCCAGTTTCTCAATATCACCAGTCGTCCGAGTGACGTCTTCGAGACTCCTCATCAGGGATTAAGAATTGATAATACAATAGAGTTTTAAAGTCATCTCACAAGTTTTTCTCCTTGATAAATGAACAATCTATTTGGTTACAACGATTCACCCTTTGCCTGATAGCTTAGTCTCGCTCCACTGATAAGTTCTTCTCATCCAAGGATTGATGGTTGACTTCCATACTATTTCAACAAATGAACAAATCCTAACCGACTGAACAAATAATGCCGACCCAAATCTAATCAAGTTCAGCCTGCCGACAACGCCAACTCGGCTGAAGATGATCTGATTTGTCTTACCAGCTGAAACCATACTAGCCTAGCCGACTGAGCTAGAGAGTATTCACGCGACTGACTCATATATATAAAATACTTAGAATATCCAGTACCGACGGTACAACCCCCATTAAAACAGAGAAAAATATAATATTGTTATATTATATTCCCTCCTTATAAATAGAGAAATCACTTTAAAGAATTGATAAATCATTCCTC